AGCTGAGGGAGAAGAGAAAAATCCTAACAGGCTCCCATTTCCCTACTTACAGTAGCTCCTTTCTTCTCAGACTAACGGCCTGGGGTCTTCCCGACCTTTGGCTCTCCCTCAAGGAAGTTCACACAGCGTTGTTTTCAGAAGCCAACACTGTATCCTCGTGTCTCTACTTGCAAGAAAATAACCGGGCTTCCAGTAAATGTAATTGGTGTTAGTGATTTATTATACACCCAGTTCTCCAGATGGCCCTTCGTGTGGAGATTATTTTTCCTGAAAACAGAAAAATGTGGAATTTCCCCCCACTCATCAGGTTCTAACAGGTCCACAATCGACTCCGTCAAAGCTGGAACCAAAAACTTTGACAGAGTTCCCTTAAGACAGAGAGAAATACCAAAAAAAAAAAAAAAAAAAAAAGAGCATTCCATCTGGTAAATAATTGCTGGGGTCGCATTCCTGTGCATTCAGGCACAAGCTAACTTCTGTACAGCACAAAGCTGTGAAAATGTCTAGGCCTAATGGGGCAACAGGAGATAAGATCTACTTAGATCTATCATATCCTCAAAATGCAGCCTCCCAGGCTGCTGGTGCATCCTGGACTCCCAGCTCATCCACAGTCGGATGAGCTAGACGGACCTAAAATTACTCCAAGATGCCTGAGGAAATTCGCTCTGGAGTACAGAAGGTTGGATGGACACATTAAGAGTGAGGGGGAGCGTTTGCCAAGGTCATTTTCAGATGACCGTGTTTGCAGAGCCAAGTCAAACGTGATTCTAAGTAACCTGTCTTCTTCCTAAAGAGCAGGTTGGAAAATGTATCTAAAAGCTACCTCGGTCTTGTGATGGGATGCTTGGGAACGGGAACAATGTTCAGCAGGAAGCAAGGAGCTGCCAAAAGAATTTAAAGCACAGGAGTTAATATATAGCACATTAAGTTCAGCTGGAGAATCTATGCTATGATTTTCATTCAACAGGAAGAACCCTTTTAAGTCAGAGCTTGCTACCCATGGAACACACTTCCTCATAAGCTCCCTGCCTCTGGAAGTCTAGGCAGGAGAGCCACATGCTGGAGATCTTGTGTGTTTGTGTGTGTGTGTGTGTGTGTTTGGGGGGTATTCCAAGAATTTGGGGAGCTGGGTTCAAGTTAGAGCTCATAGATGCAAATGCCTTTTAGGGGTGAGGTGGTTAAATTGTTTAAAATGTTAAGCGGATCAGGCCCAGAATGACTGGACAGGCACACCCCACCTAAAGGAGTTCAAACTCAGTATTATTTAAAAAAAAAAAAAAAAAAAAAGCATCGGCTTGGCCAAATAAAACATCTCTGCAGGATTCGGCTGTGGATCAAGAGAACCGTTTGCCACTCCTGAACTAAAAGATCCTTAAGTTCTTTGACTTCTTGGTTCTGTGTATGTGGAAATAATACATTTTCTCTCTTAAGAGCCAAACATCTGTGTTAACTTTTGCAGTAGGAGAAGACAGGCATTCTAGAAGTACAGAATGTGGTCTCCATCCTCTAGGACCTCAAAGATATTTTTAAACTAGATGTGTTCATACAAAGGCAATATACAGGCAAAATTGTATAAAGGCCTATAGCCACTCAGAGGAAGCAGCACTAACTTTTATCTAGATTGGTCTACAATGAGCCACGGAATAGGCAATTTGGGCTTAAAGGAACAAACACTGAGATAAACAGAGAGCAGAGTAGTCAGGTAGTGAGAATAGTATAAAAAACAAAACAAAACCAACAGAAAGACCAAAAGGTGGGGGATGGGTAGAGGGAGGTCCTTGAATCCTGGCGAGAGTCCTCCCAACTTCTTCCCCAGACCCTGAAACCGGCTTCCCGTCACCTGTTCAGGTCCTGCTCCCCCCGCAGCCTCCAACTCTCCCTCCCCAGGGACTGAAGGCTTTCCCTGAGGCCCCAGTTCCCCTGGCTGGGCCCCCCCACCTGCGCTCAGAGCCTGAGAGCCCCCCCTTCCATAGCCTGCTGCACACCTTGGCTCCGTTGCCTATTTGCAGACTAATCAACAGGCTGCCAATCCGCCACTCCGAGGGACAATTACACCTGATGATGCTAACCCATCAAGGCAAGTGAATTCAATTTTCAAGTTGAGAGTGTACTTCTAAAAACTTGATGACCAGATGTGAGAAGGCAGAACCCCTCTTCAGAATTTGAATTTGGCTTGGGAACTCCTTCGTATTTGTAGCGTGCGCTTGGTGGTATGTTAGTTGCCGTCAGTCGCTCACGGTGACTCATGGCTCACAAGGGGTCAAGATCTGTGCTGGGCTCAGCACATGCATCCCTCACTTGCCTCCCCCCACAACCCCTAAGATGGGGTCCATCCTTATCCCCTCTGTAGTGATGAGTAAACTAGGCCCAAAGTCCCGCCATCAGCGAGGGCACAGATTCAAATGCAAGGCTTCTGTCTCCAGAAACTGTCTGCAAGCACGAACCAGGACATGACACAACTCCACGTCAGCGTGCCACTCCTGGGGGGGTGTGAGCAGACACTCCACCCCCCGGGGGCCTCTGCTGGCCCAGCAGTTGAGGTGAGCCTCCCTCACTCCGCGAACAAAGCCCCCATTCGCTGTGGGAATTTCTATCACCGGCTTTTCTAACTGTGAGATTCTCACATTAGATCACCTGGGCCATTTCAAAAACACTCAGCACTGATTGATGCCCCAACCCCAGCCCCCAGCCCCCAGAGACTCAGGTTTAATGGGTTTGGGTTTGAGCCAGACATTGGTGTCCTATAAGATCTCCCCAGGGAACCTGGATGTGCAGGAAGGCTGGCGAACACAGGCGGTGAGCAGTGGCTGGGGGCTGTTTTCTGGAACCCACGGCCAGTTATGGCCTCTGTGTGGGCCTCAGTGTTCTGGTCGGTAAAATGGGAGTTCAGAGGTGTGTAGTTTGTGGGGCTGAAGGGAGGATTAGGCTACATGGGAAAAGTGGTGGGCAGTGATGGCGAGGTCCCTGGTCCCCCCTGGAAAGCCTCACGGGGCCATAATGACGCTGACATTTGTAGTTGCTCATGCACACACCCCGTCGGTTGCAAAAGACGATGCGTTCTGCCTGTTTTCGCTCAGCCCGCCTGACACCACGGGGAAGGGGGGGATGGGCGGGCACTCCTGGCAACTTGCCAGGTTGGTGGGCGATGAAGAGGCCCGGGCCCTCGGGGATCAGACGGCTGGGGTGCGCCGTCACCGGGGGTCTGCTCTCGGGGGTGCTGAAATCAGGGGTGATGCGGAAGGAAGATGCCCCGGGAAGGGCCGCGACAGTGCGGGGGGCCTGCAGACCAGAGCCAGGCTGGCTGGAAGCGGGCAGGCAGCTCGTGGTTCGACGTCCCCGCCCTGCAGACCGACAGCGTCAGCTCCAAGCCCAGCTCTGCCTCAGCCTCGCCGCGCTCCGCTAACTCACTTCTCCGGGTCGTTTTCTCCCTCGTGTCTAAACTGTGGATGAGGTTGTCCACCCTCTGAGGATGCAGAGCGCTCAGCACCGAGGCCCCGCCCCCCCGCCCCCCGCTCGGCGCTCCGGATCTGGCCACGTTGCCCACTTTGCCAATCTGCCCCAAAGTAAGAAGAGCCTCCAGCACCACCTCTCCCGTGCCCTGGAAAATCAGGTAAACTGCGGCTCCACAGTTCGTTCCGATCCATTACCTCCTCCTTCTCTTGGACCCACAGTCACAAGCATTGAGAATCGAGTTTGAAAGAGATAGTGAGAGGTGAGATAAAGGGTATAAGTGACCCACAATAAAGGCAGTGCATCTATTTCTGGTCCCTTCTCAGGGAGCATGGGGTTGATGGCTTGCAGAGTGGGGCACAGACAGGTGACAAAGGACTCCTCCCATATCTCTGGCCTGCAACAAGCCCCAGGGAGCGCTATGTAGCACCCAAGCTCAGACAACACAGCAGGAAAAATGACGTGCTTGAGCCTGGAGAGAAGGACCTTTTGGATTTTTCTGGGGATGGCTATTGTCGTCTCTCAGAATAAGAATCCAGCACGATGTGAATTGTGCAAGACTGTTGAATCTCAGATCTGTACCTCTGAAACAAATAATGCAATATATTTTAAGAAAGAAAAAAAAAAGAAGAATGTAGCAGGAGGGGAAGAATGAAGGGGGGGAAATCGGAGGGGGAGACGAACCATGAGAGACGATGGACTCTACAAACTGAGGGTTCTAGAGGGGAGGGGGGTGGGAGGATGGGTTAGCCTGGTGATGGGTATTGAGGAGGGCACGTTCTGCATGGAGCACTGGGTGTTATGCACAAACAATGAATCGTGGAACACTTCATCTAAAACTAATGATGAAATGTATGGGGATTAACATAACAATAAAATTAAAAAAAAAGAATCCAGCACGAGGTTGATCCCACCTTGGTGTTTGCCATGGAGAAGTCAAGAAAACTAAGGTTAGGCCTCACAAGACATGCATGTAACAGTGGTTTGGCCCATCCATTAACTCAATTTTCAACTGGCAGACAGACTACCCCTTCGCTACTCTTAATCCCTGTGCTTTGGATGAAACTGACTATATCCCTGTCCCCAGGGAGTAGGTGTGGTATTCAGGCCAGTCAGGGCATCATATTCCTCTGACCAAGTGATAGGGTTCCCTAATCTCAAAACAATCTCTCGTGCTCATTTGTAGTCATAAGAGGACTTTAGCTGAGGAGCTGGGGAAGATTCCCACATTCCCTCTGGCTGGGCCTGTGTGGTCATGATAACGGGTGCTGTCACATAGAACCTGAGAAGGAAGCAGGAACTTGCCAAAGGGAGAACCAAGAGATGGAGAGATACTGCGTCCTGAGGGCACTGGTTCAGACTCTGATCAAGCCGAACCTGAAGCCAGTGCTTCTGCTGGACTTTTTAGTTACATGAACCAAGAAGCTCCCTCTTGTCTTAAGGCAGTTTGGCGTGGGATTTTCCATGTCTTGCAGTGAAAGATTCTCAACTGACTCCAAAAATTATTGGCCAGACTCCAATGACTGAAGTTGAAATCTTTACTTGTTGGATATTGGATTTATTTATTAATTGGACATTAATTGGATATATTAAGATAGGAGGGCCCTTCTTCAGGGCTGTTGTAATCATAGAATTATTTTACACATAATCATAGAGCTGCCATTTTACCAATGAGGACGCATAGCAGAATCTGAACAAGTCCTGGGCTCTGTGTAGCCCTGAAGTCGATCCTGCATTTGCTCCTCAGTTAATCATCATCATTATCATCAAACCCAGGCCTCACTTCCCCAGGCCCTCTTCTTTGGGATTCTTCTTCTGTGGCCCAGCCTGATTTCATATTCATCTTGAAAGGAAACTGATCAGCGTGGCCACCAATTCCCTAGGAACCTGGTTGTGTTGAATAACAAAAAGTCAGCCGGGTACATTTGAGGATCTCATTGGCTTTATTGAACTTTCCATGAGTCGGGCAGCATCCCAACTCGCAAACAGAAAAGAGCTCCCTGGAGCTGTAGACAAGGAAAAGTTTTTAAAAGCAGAGAGGGAGTGGGGGGAAAAAGGAAATTTTTGGTGAAGAATGCATTGTTATAGGCAAGGTCACCCTCCTAAGGGGAACAGAAAGGGTCGATCAGTAAATTTCTAGTGCTGACCAAAAAATGCCATGTTGACTGATTAAAGATTACCTCCCTGGAGAGCTTGAAACTGCAGTTAGGTTAAATATCAAATCTTGGTTTGCTTACGTGGGCCCTTAACATAAGTGAGGGGCTGTTGTTTTCTTAACAGTACTGACTATTCATCTGCTCCGTGAATCTCTATAAGTGTGGGGGCCACACGGGGGCCTGGTGCCTGGCTTATGCGCGTGTATGGGGGTTGAGGTTTTTCTGCGATCAGTCTGTCCTCACACCATGCGGTGGGTGGGAATTTGGAGCCTGAGAGAAGGGGAGCCCACAGCGGCTGGGGAGGGGGCAGCTTCGGCGCAAGCAGGCAGGCTAGTGCTCATGGGTAACCCCTGGGTTCCTGCACCTGGCTGGCCAGTCCTGCTGAAGGAGGAAGAAAAGAAGCCAGCTGAGATCTTCATTCGCCCTCCGATTATTTTATTCATTCAGACGGACAAAACCTGGACTTGAGCCCTGTTTCTGCCACGTACAAGTTGTTTGAACTTGGATTTGTGCGCTGATCTCCACTACCTCGATTGTAAAGGGCAGTTATGGTGACATCTGACCTGCCCCGTTCACAGGATTGTTGGGAGGATCGTGGGTTGATGTACATGATAAATGCTGTACACACATACTCTGCAAAGAGTCAGGTGCCAGGAATGACTTTCCCTTTTATCCGGGGTCGGGATTCTCTGTTACTGTGTGTGCATGTTGATAGCTGTAATCGTGGTGTTACGGTTATAGGGAGAGCCCCCAGTCATAGTAAGAGTATGATTTTAAGAATGACAGAGCTTCTGGGCGCCTGGGTGGCTCAGTTGGTTGAGCAACTGCCTTCGGCTCAGGTCATGATCCTGGAGTCCCTGGATCGAGTCCCGCATCGGGCTCCCTGCTCGGCGGGGAGCCTGCTTCTCCCTCTGACCCTCCCCCCTCTCATGTGCTCTCTCTCTCTCATTCTCTCTGTCTCAAATAAATAAATAAAATCTTTAAAAAAAAAAAAAAGAATGACAGAGCTTCTGGACTATATTTTGCAAATCAAAGCTTGTAATTTAAGGAACAATAGAATACTAACAAGGGAGTGTTCTGGGAAATTGAGGACATATGGTCAGCAGAGAGATATTAAAAAAAACCTCAACTGGGAGTTAGGAGACTGGATCCCTAGTCCTTCCTCTGTCTGTGATCTTGAGCCATGGTGGACCCTTGATGGCTTCTGTTCCCCCGATCTGTAAAACTAGGTTGCTTGACCTCGTAGTTTCATAACTGGGATGAGGTTAAAAAAAAGGTTCATTTATTTATTTTATAGAAGAAGCTTGAGAGAGCTTGCATGTGCACAGAGGGAGAACCCAAGCAGACTTCCCACTGAGCATGGAGCCAAGATCCAGGCTCAATCCTGAGATCATGACCTGAGTCGAAATCAAGAGTCAGATGCTTACCTGACTGAGCCACCTGGGTGCCCCACTGGTAGGAGTTTTTAGAGTTACCCGGGGAGATCCACAAATGTAGAATATTTGTTTTGTTTCCTGCTGTGTTTCCAAAGCATAGAAAAGTCCTTGGCCCAAGGTAGGTACTCAGTATTTTTTTAATGAACAAATAAAACTTTATGAAAATTAACAGGCCTGGGCACACTCCAGAATCCTCACAGAGTATGTGTTTTTATTGGCCAGGTTGAGCAAATAAAAACACAAGACATCCAGTGAAGTCTGAATTTCAGATAAACAATGACATTTTTGGAGCGTACATATGTGGTATGGAGTATTAGGCTATTGCACCTCATGTAAAGATAACCAGGTAAGGTTAGAGCTTTGGGCCAGAGAGTGGCACCTTGAAACAGGCCAAGATTTCAGAATCAGACAGATAATCTTGGTGTGAGTCTCTGCCTTGATTGTGTAATTTTAACCGGTTGCTGAACTTTACTGGGCTTTGTAACCACAGTGTTCATCCCATAGGGTTGCTGAAGATATTCGAGATAATGTAGGTATGATGGCCTGCACTTAGCACGTATCTCTACTTCGGTAGCCGATATGGGCAGTTGGTCCGAAGGAAAGAACTTAGCAACACCAAGACCTTCACCGAATGCATTGTCAACTAGTAACTTGGCATTCCAAAGTGACCAGGAATAGAAAGAATAGTTCTAGGTAGACCTGAGCAAAGTGAGACTGAATGCTGACCTTCTGTCAAACAATACCTCTATGTCTGGGGGGAACAAAACATACTCAAAATTAATAGCTTATCCAGAATAAATAGAGGAAGGAAATTCTTTCCTTTCATTTGTTATGAAATGTCATTTGCTTAACTGACTTTTTCTAATGTCAAAAGTAAATATTCAGGTTTCCTAGGGTCACTCGACAGAGGGATGGGCCACTAGTTGGGTAGTGAAAATACTTCAATCCTGACCTGGTTTCTCTCTCTTCTAAGTTAAAAGCATCTTCTGTGTCCAGAGCATTTGTTGTTTCTAGAAATGTCTGATACATCTCTTCTGGTTGAAAAACGAACACATGTGGCAACACGTGTAAAATGTTCATTGGAAGGAAACAACTCGCTAGAAACACATATTTAATGCTGAGTATATATATGTACCAAAGACTGTCCTAGGTGCTGGGGCTCCTCAGTGAACAAAACAGACCCACATCCTTGCCTTTGTGGAAATGGCATCCTGGGATAGGGAGAAAAATATAAGCACCCTAAATAAATGAGTTCTGTAGGATGTGGACGGCGATGGTTTCTACGGGAAAGGACCAGAGGGGAAGGAAGGTGGGACTGAGGATGGTGGGGTGGTCATTTTAGTTAGCATGGTAACAGTGGGCCTCATTGGCAAGGTGGCATTTGGGAAACGGAGGTGATGGAAGGAGCCATGCTGATCTGGGGGGATGAGAAGAAGACTATCAAGCACAAAAGACCTAAGGCAGGTGCATGCCAAGAGTGTTCTAAGAACAGTGTGGAGGCCGGTGTAGCCAGAGTAGAGAGAGGGAAGACGGTAGGAAGAGAGAAGACCCAAGTCACTGTTACGGTCTTAATCGTGATGAGAGCAAATGTGAATCTTAGTTTCCTTACTCTGTGCTTGTAGGGGTCATCTTCAACTAGGCACTTGCAATGACGGCTCTTAGTTTAGTTAGATTAGAGATTTGCCCCCACACATCCATGACGGCAGGAAGCAACACAGCTTAGCAGAGACACATGCGCCTTCATCAATAGCTCTGAGTTCCTATTCTGATGTTCTTGCTAGGTGTGTGCCCTTGGGCAAGTTACTTGACCTCTCTGTACTTCAAGTTCATCTCTGAAATGGGCGAAATGAGGCTCCCGGAAGTGCCTCCATTGAAGTTGTGAAGATTGTAGGGAGGTCCATGGACAATCTTAACACGGTGCTTGGCACACAGGAAGTACTAAAAAAATACCATTATTATTTCTTGAAAAGTATAATCAGGAAGATGGGGTATTTTGAAATATCTATTTCAGTGTATATTTGGAATGTATATTAATAACCAAAACATGTTTTTGAGCAAAAATGGCCTTTGAGCCAACCTCTGGGATGATCCCTCATGATCCTTTGTCTGAGAATTCAGACCCATGTATGGTCCCCTCCCACCTTGGACCAGGGTTGGTCTATGTGACCATAAATTATGGCAGAAGTGATAATATGTTACTTTTTTAGAAGAAATATTTAATTAAAAAAATCTTTTTTTGTCTAATGATATGTCACTTTGATATGTCACTTTTCTGGTCCCTTCTCAGGGAGCATGGGGTTGATGGCTTGCAGAGTGGGGCACAGACAGGTGACAAAGGACTCCTCCCATATCTCTGGCCTGCAACAAGCCCCAGGGAGCGCTATGTAGCACCCAAGCTCAGACAACACAGCAGGAAAAATGACGTGCTTGAGCCTGGAGAGAAGGACCTTTTGGATTTTTCTGGGGATGGCTATTGTCGTCTCTCAGAATAAGAATCCAGCACGATGTGAATTGTGCAAGACTGTTGAATCTCAGATCTGTACCTCTGAAACAAATAATGCAATATATGTTAAGAAAGAAAAAAAAAAGGAAGAAGAATGTAGCAGGAGGGGAAGAATGAAGGGGGGGGAAATCGGAGGGGGAGACGAACCATGAGAGACGATGGACTCTACAAACTGAGGGTTCTAGAGGGGAGGGGGGTGGGAGGATGGGTTAGCCTGGTGATGGGTATTGAGGAGGGCACGTTCTGCATGGAGCACTGGGTGTTATGCACAAACAATGAATCGTGGAACACTTCATCTAAAACTAATGATGAAATGTATGGGGATTAACATAACAATAAAAAATAAAAAAAAAAAATCCAGCACGAGGTTGATCCCACCTTGGTGTTTGCCATGGAGAAGTCAAGAAAACAAAGGTTAGGCCTCACAAGACATGCATGTGACAGTGGTTTGGCCCTATCTAATGATATGTCACTTTGAGGATTAGATTATAAAAGCATTGCAACTATGATCTTGCTCTTTCTTTCTCTCTCAGTCATCACTTAGCTCTGGGGCAAAGCAACTGTTATGTCCTGAGCAGCCCCATGGAAAGGCGCCCCCTATGGAGGGGTCTACATGACAAGGTACTGAGACCTTGTGCCAAGAACCATGTGAGTCAGAGTCTTTGGAAGTGGACCCACCAGGTGTGGTCAAGCCTTCCGATGATAGCAGGCCTCACTGACATTTTGACTGTAACTTCATAAGAGCCCCTGAGCCAGAACCATCCAGCTAAGCAGCTCCCAGATTCCCGAACCACAGAAACCGGGGGAGATGATAAATATTTGTTGTCTCAAGCTTCTAAGTTTTGCAATAATTTGTTTATGCAGCGATACATAATTAATAACAATGATTTATATATATATATTTTAATTAACTTTTGATTATAAAGGATTTACTAGGCCTAAACCTATTTCTCTCATGTTTGATCTTTAAACATCACCCCTGGTCCTTGGAAGTCTACAAGCACTTATTTTTTTACATAGTTGTTATCAGTGTAAATCAATGTATATACGCTACTTGGTATTTTGATTTTCCCCTCCGAGTCATGTCATATGCACCAACAGATTGCCGCATTCGTAGCATTTTTACTGGCTCTATGGCATTCTTTGCTATTGCTACGTCACCTTAGCTCAAACGGTCCCTATTGTAAGACATACTGAGTTACAATAAAAATAGTGCCTATGAGCCAGGCAATGTCCTGAGAGTTCCATAGACTAGGTCCCTGCTCTCAGATACGAGAAAGACAGGCAACACAGAGGGGCAAGTCCTCCTGAGGCTCAAAGACTACCAAAGGGATCAAACATGAACACTGGCGTTGGTTAGATGAGTACCCTGTCCTTGAGGTCGACCTAAGACAGTGGGTGCAAAGGAGCTAGGTGAACGTCATTGTTAAGATAACAGTCATAGCTTTCTAGAATTCTGTGTGCTTCCTGGAGAAATACAGAGATGACAGTAGACAATAAAACCTTGGGGAAAAAAAAATCCTTGCCTTGGCTCCAAGTCTCAAAGCAGGATTTCAGGGAGGGTATCCCTGAACTAAAGCCACTGTCCCCCAACTCTGTGTGTCTGCCTCCCCCTCTCAGCATTCTCCTCCCCTCCTTTGGCTGTGCTTTGTCAGACGCTACCATTGTGGCTGGAAGAAAAAAAGTTGCCTAAGCCCTTCTTTGTTGAAATGCAGCACCATGTTACACATACCGGGTCTCTTCTGAATACAGCATTCATCAGAAGGCTCTTACGTAACCAGATCCTACAAGCAGGGAGCACCGTTTCTCCAGCTGGGTCGGTTCTGGTGCTCACCGTTTGACTTTCCCAACCTTGCCAACAAGATTCAGGGGGACCACGGGGTCAGCAAGCCGTTTTCACCTGTAAAAAAATAACATGCGATCAAGGGAGCTGCACCTAGTGTATCAAGGAACACGAAACACAAGCAACTCTAGAACCTCATCAGGTTCGTGCTCATCAGTCTATGGAGCCAGATGCAGCCCTGCCAGTCGGGGCAAAGTCAACACTTCTTGAGTGACAAGACTGAGGTATTGACATCAGGGATCCTTATTAGGTTTCAGCTGTGCTAATCCTCAGATGAATGTGGCGCAGCGTCCCTCCCTCCCCTCGGTGCCCCTAGCGCCCCCAGAAGACGCCCCTCCCTGTTTAGCTGCACTCAGAGAACCTTCATTTTAATTAGAAGTCTGTCTGATGAAAAAGCACCCGGGCTCAAAAGACCACTCCAGTTGTTTGAAAACTCCCGGGTTAGAGAATAGGGCAGTGAGGTCAAGGTCAAAAGGTCACCAGGTCAGGATTTTCCTGCCAAAGGAGAAAATGCTTCAGCAACAATGACTCAGTGCAAAGTTATGACTAATATGATTAAAACAAAAGCAAGCAAACAAAACAAAATGCCTCCAACACAATGCACACAGTGTGCCAGTTGAAAGTGACGGGCGGTGGGGGGGGGGGTTAATTCTGGCTCTGCACCTTCGCAGCCCAGGTTCGAATCCTGCCTCCACCACTTAGCACTGTGGCTTCCTGTGGAGGCTTGAGCCTCCCTGAACCTCTGCCTTCATTTCTGCAATGTGAATAATCATCACGCCTACCTCGCAGGACAATGAGGTTCTCAGTAAGTGTTATCAGTTATTAAAATTACATTGTTTTAATTATGATAATACTTTATACCTCTTTCAAGCCAAAGTCTTTTATATTACGGTAAAGTTTGTACATGTATTAGCTCCTCTAAATGACGGGTGGTTTGTTTGGATTCTTCATCTTTGTGTCCTTTATAAAGCTTAACCCAGTGCTTTGGGCACAGTAGGCCCCCAATAAATATTTGTCAAATAAGTAAATGTCCTAAATATAGTGAGTCTGCAGGGACAGGCTTGTACACATAATCCCTCTAGTTAGGGACCTATGAGAATGTCACACACCTTTTGAATACTCTATAAATATTTTATATGAGTAACAAGGATATAATGAAGATTACAATTATGAATAAAGATTACTCTTAGCTCAAATTTCCTGAACTAGGGTTACATCCTTCAGCAATATATAAAACGTATTCATACAGGGTTTCAGCTTACTGCAGACTAAACCCTAACTTACTTTGCAAAATAAAGCAAATGAATCAATGTGTTCTTTACCTTTCAGACGGGTGTTTCCAGGAACCAGGAGTGTGGGGCTATCATGTTATAGGTTGAAATAACTTCCTTTCTTTCTAGCTTTAGATAATAATTACATGTTCTCTGACACAGACGGCAGCTAGATTATTTTACATTCATTTCCTAAGCTTTGTAATGCTTGTAACTAAGTGGCAAACTAACTAGTGCAATCTGAGTTATGAGCTTTGGGACACAGAAAAAAGCAGAGCAGGCTCTACGGGCCATTCCCTTCTGCTTCTCTCTTTTAGCTTTCTCCAACAAGGGAGGTCGAAGCACTGTTTTGGAAGAGGGAACCACAAAACCATTGGCAGTAGGTAAGTGATCCAGACTGTGAGTCATGGACTAGGGTTTTGTAATATTAATAGATGTTCTTCAGCAAGAAGACTCCTTAGCGGCAGTAAGAACTGAGCCAGGATCTAGATCCTCCAAGGTCTGTAGTGGTGAATCCAGCTGTCTCCACTGCATGATATGCACAATATGGAGCTCCCCCACCCCACTCCCACCCCCCCAGTTTACCTTTTCTTTCAGGGAGACTCACTTGGGCTCAGGTTTGCACACACACACACACACACACACGTTCTTGCCACCATGACTTCTCTTTAATACTCTGACATGAGAACAGCCAAAACACTTTCCCTCACACCTCTAAAATATTTGAGAATGACAAAAACTTAAAAAAAAAATCTCAACAATAACTGTGGTATATATCTGTTGTAAAAAAAAAAAAAAAGAAAGAAAGAAAGAAGAGTATGGGAAAGGAAATGACTTCCAGGGCCTGCCCCAATTCTTCTGTCCCAAAGGACTAGTGTGACTTTGGTGACCTCTCGCCTGGGGGGTCCTTCTTGCTCTGTCCTGATTTATCTCCTTGCTGCCGTGTACCTTATTGGGTTTCAGTGCACAAGACATTCAGGGCGCCATATTCCTTCCTGCAGGTTACCCAAGGCCCGCTCTGGTGCAACTCACTCTGTGAGGTTCGATCCTTACTGCAACGTGAGGTTGATACTTCCATTTTACAGACGAGAAGCTTGAGGCTCAGGGAGGTAAAAGAGTTGACTGCTCTTACCTGCACACACTTCCTAGTATATGGCAGAGGACTAACTGCGTGACACGAAGGTCCACTATGCAAATGGTATACCCCACAACCAGGGCAGACGCCCTTTAGCTGCAAAGCCCATATAACGTATGGTTGTGTTTGTTACTAATTTACTAGAGAGCTTAACTGAATCCTGAGGGAATGGGTGCAGGAGACATTGGTTTTGATGGGAAAGGAGAATAAGGAGAAGGTTCTAAATCTGGAGTTGCTGCCAGTAAGACAGTCCTCATTATGTCCCCATGTGTAAAGTGCAGAGCCACATGATGTCAGTGGAGTGATAGAAATAAATAATGTGTGTTTTAAAAGGGCCTGATGGAAATATGTCAAAATCTGAACAGTGACTGTATCTAGGTGATGGAGCCATAAACGATTATTTCTAATTTGTCCTTTTCATATTTTCCCAGAGTTTTTTTTTTTTTCCTGATAATGGGCATGCATTACTTTTATAGTCTGAAAAACTTAAGTATTAGCTTATAATGCGTTAGCTACGTGTTATATTGTAAAAACATATGACTATCAAATTAAAAATGTATGCGCTTCAAAGGACCCTATCAAGTGAAAAGACAACCCACAAAACGGGAGAAAATATTTACCAATTTTTTATCTGCTGTATATCAGATAAAGGACTCGTATTACTTATCAGATATAAGTAAAGGCCACTTACAACTCAACAAGAGAAAGACACATAACCCAATGTAAAAATGGGCAAAAGATTTGAACTGGGGGCGCCTGGGTGGCTCAGTCGTTAAGCGTCTGCCTTCGGCTCAGGTCATGATCCCAGGGTCCTGGGATCGAGCCCCGCATCGGGCTTCCTGCTCGGCAGGGAGCCTGCTTCTCCCTCTCCCTCTGCCTGTCTCTCTGCCTACTTGTTCTCTCTCTCTCTCTCTGTCAGATAAATAAGTAAAATCTTTAAAAAAAAAAAAATGCAAGAAAACAGACCCAGAGCCCTGATGGAACCATACCTGATCTCATCCGGTCTCTGGACTGTTTCATCTGTGGGAGGCAATACATCCCTCTTTTTTTTTTTTTTTTTAAACAAATAGCTGACAACTTATAGAAGTACCTAAGGTATTCAGTGTATTGTGGAGGGTACAAAGAAAAACAATACTTAAAAATTTAAAGGGGCTCACCACCCAATAATAAATACTTAGTTTTTGTGATATCATTTTAGCCTGGTTATTTAAAAAAATTAAGTTATGGCTCATGTTCTTTTTGAGATCCTCTTACCATTTGGTCAGTATAATATTAAATAAGAGGGTGCCCGGGTGGCTCAGTCGTTAAGCGTCTGCCTTCGGCTCAGGTCATGATCCCAGGGTCCTGGGATCGAGCCCCGCATCGGGCTCCCCGCTCAGCAGGAAGCCTGCTTCTCCCTCTCCCACTCCCCCTGCTTGTGTTCCTGCTCTCGCTGTTTCTCTCTCGGTCAAATAAATAAAAATCTTAAAAAAAAAAAGAAAAAAAGATTTGAACTGACATTTCTCCACAGCAGATATACGGATGGCCAATAAGGATATGAAAAGATGCTCAACATCATTAGTCATTAGGGAAATATGAATTAAAACCACGAGACACCAATTCACACCCACTAGAATATATATAATAAAAAAGATAGCGATGACCATGGACGAGGGTTTGGAGAAATTGGAAGGTAAAACAATACGGCCACCTTGGAAAAGTGTGTCAGTTCTTTGAAAAGTTAATCACAGAGTTACTATATAGCCAAGAAATTCCACTCCTAGATATATACCCAAGAGAAAGGAAAACATGTTTACACAGAAACAGGTACACGATCATTCAGAGCAGCATAGGATGGCGCAGAGCGAAAAAGTAGAAGCAATCCAAAATGCCCATCAGAGGATGAATGGATAAACAAGATGTGGTTTTATCTACTCGAGGAAATATTATTCAGCTATAAAGAGGAGTACTGATACAGGGCTACAGCATGGATGCACTCCGCCAATATTAAGTTTAAGAAGTCAGACACAAAGGCTTTCTATTGTATGTTTCTACATACATGTTCAGTATAGGCAAATTCATAGAGACAGAAAGCAGATTAGTGTTTGCCCAGGGCTCAGTGTGTGTGTGTGGGGGGGGTACTGAGGAGCGACTTCTGATGGGTGTGGGGTTTCCTACCGGAATAATCGAAGTGTTCTGGACTTAGATAGTGGCCGTGGTTGCAGAACTGTGAATATATTCAAAAATCACCAGATGGTAAACTTTAAGAGTAAACTTTATGGTATGCGAATTGTATCTCAACAGAGGAATGACTAAAAAGGAAGTAAAATTTCAAATAGAAATCCACCAAAAAAATTTAGAATCTGCCTTACTTTTGACTGATTAGGTTTGACTACGTTTGAGGGCCTGGGGAATAAATGTTCACTGACTAAATGTAATGAAGGAAAAACGACGGATGGAGAGTACTGTGTGCATGCAGGAGCCCCCTGCCCGATTCTCCCTCTTACTCCTTAGCCCCCCGGGGTGGGGGGATAAAGATTCTTTTCATAGAATTGCGGACATTAGGCAGAGAGAGGGTAGAGAAGATCTACCGAACCCATACACCCTTACTCTACCCATGAAGAAACTGAGGCCCAGAAGGAGGAAAGAGTTTGCTCACTGCCCCCCACCCCCGTCATGAGCTGCAAAGGGGCTGATGAGCTTTCCCTGCCCCACGTTATCTTTGAGCTGCCGCCCGCCTGTCCTTTTCACCGGCAGGGCCATCCATTTCAGGAATTAGCAGGTGTGCTTTGCCTGTACGCAGAGAGAAGCACTGATTGCACAGCCTCTTCGCCCCAAAGGCCAGCATTTCGCTTTTTGAGGTTTGACGACTCTCCACTGCAATCTACTTGCAAAAACACCGTGACAAGTGTACGGCGCCGCTGGGTGCGTGCTCTGCTGGAGAGCTCGGGGGCGGGGGGGGGGGGGCGGAGGGCCCGAGCCCCCTAAAGAAAAGCAGTGACTGGAGAGCGGGCATTAATGCGTTTTTGTTTTGTCTTGCTAATACTTGGTTTTACAAAGTTGGCCTTCCTGTCCGGTTTATTCAAACCATTTTCATTGGAAGGAAGGCTCAAGCCACAGTCTCTCAACCTCCACGGATCTACTCGCACCCAACGGCGACTGCCCTGAATCCAGCGTCTGACTTCCCAGTTGGCTCTCAGCTCCCGCGGCGGGCACTGCGCCTTCTCTGGAGCACCCCCCCCAACCCCCGCGCCCCTGCACGCCTCTGCACACGCTTCTGCACTCCCCTTTCCACCCAGGCCTCTGTCCTGCCCCCGAGGCGGTCCCTGGCCGCCCCTGTGCGGGTCCCGCTCAGGCACCTGCAGGAAACGAGAGCCCTGCGCGCTCACCTGGGGCCACAAAACCAACCCACAGCCGCAGTTCGTCCGCGGAGTGGTGGGAGGGGGCAGTAAAAAGGCGCTGGGGGTGGGCGTTAACCGTGATCCCTCCCGGCCGGGGACGAGAGGCGGGAACTGACTCAAGTTTCCCCGGGGGGTGGAATTTTTCGCTCCCTCGGGGAGAGAGGCAGGCACACGTGGGCGGCAGGAGCGCGCCCGGCGGCCGGCGCTGCCCGGCTTGGCGGCTCGCCGGGCAGGGGTGAGGCGGAGGTGCGCGAAGGTGCCTCGTGGGCCTGGCGGAGTCGGAGCGGCGCGCAGGCGCACTGGGGCCAGCCCGCCGGCCGGGTCCCGGGGTACAAAGAAGCGCCGCGCAGAGCCGGGGTTCCTGGAGGTCTCCGGAGCCGCCCGGGGAGCGCCTCCCGCCCCGCTTCGGGACGCCGCCCCGGTCGTTTCCCGCGCGGCGACGGAGGCTTGCCGGCCTCCCGACCCGCTCGCCCCTGCAGTGGCTGCAGGGCCCGGAGGGCGGCGGTCCGTTGCGGGGTTTAATTCTGGCGCTCGCTCGCGGGGGCCGGCTCCGCCCGCCCCGCCCCGCCCCCTCCTCCGAGGTCCGGGAGCCGCGGCCGGCCGGGCGCCGCAGGTTGGGGAGCGCGCCCGGAGGTGAGTGAGTCGGGGGGCTGCGCCGCGCCCTGGGTCCGGCGGGGTCGGCGCGGGCGTCCGGACCCCGAGCCCTGGCGCGGGCCGGCCACCTTGGCGCGCGCCCGGGGCGGTGGCGGGGGGCAGCCCCGCGGGCTCGCGCTCGCCCCGCCTCCCCCGGCGGCCTCGGGGCGGGCCTGGGGACGGGGTCCGAGAGACCTTTGCTCGGGGCCGCGGCAGAGTCCCGGCCGGGGCCGGGAGGTGCGGGCGCGCTGCGCTGGGGTGCCCTCGGGCCCTGTACTAGCCCGGGACGGGGTGCCGGACCCTCCCCGAGGCGTCACGGGGTGAAGTTCTCGGCCCCGCTCCGCAGGGGGAGCGGAGGTCGACCGCTTTATCTCTGTGCCCCAGAGCGGCAGGTGGCCTCGGTCGCCCTCCGCCGACTCCGAGATGGCTCCGGCCCGGGTCGGAGGGGTCGGGAGGTGGCGGGAGGGCGGGGGAGCCGGGGCCTCCGGGACGCGACCGTGACCCGCGCGGCGTGGGCTTCTGGGCGGCCCGCGGCGTCAGGTCGGCGGAGGGTGCCAGCGCCCCTGAGCGGACTTGGTCCCCGACGTCCCCTCTACCGTGCCATTTCGGCAGAAACCCACGCACTCCTGCGCTCAGGGCAGCCACCGCCCCTCGCTCACTCTCCCCCCTGCACCTGGGTCCCCGGGGAACTTTTCGGAGGCAGCTTCTCGAGGTGGGTCCTGCGGGTCGGCGGGAGCGGCTCCGCACCAGGGTGATGGGTGAGGGCTTTGGCCGAGTTAGCGTTAAAAACAATCTGTGGCGTCCCCCAGTGCTCGCTGTCTGCACCTCCTCTCTGCGAGGTTCGTCTCGTCGTATTAACGAAATACATCAGCAAGACAGCCCTGAGACCAGCAAGGAAGGGTAATCATCCACACGTGTAATTGTGCAGTTTCTTTCCCCCCCTCTATTCCCCGCATCTCTGAGTTGGATGGAAATCAGAACCTGCTTCCTCTTTTTTAATTCGTGGGTTTGGTCACCTTGATTTTTAGGTGGTGCTTAGCTGTTCATCTGCTAATTCTTTTCGTCCAACTTTCTCTACTAAAAAGTGGGGCGCTCCCACGTTGTATTTATTTAAAAAATTGAGATATAATAAACGTGTCATAAATTTACCCTTTTAAACTGTTCAATTCCGTGGTTTGTAGTATATTCACAAAGTTATACCGTTATCACTACGAATTCCAGAACATTTTCATCACCCCCGGAGAGAAGCCCCATCCGCGTTAGCAGTCATTCCTCATTTCACCCTTCCCCAGCCTCCCTCCTTCATTTTAAGGTGAGGTTTTCCCAAGGTAGAGATTGAATTGGAAACTGAGAGATTATTAATTTCGGACCTTTTTCAGTTAATGGATTGGGGGAAGGTGCTGCGGATGAGGCAGTGGAAGAAAATTTTAGTAGGGATTGTCCCGTGGCGAGGTTAGTGTCTAAGGATGCAGGAGAATCGGTTAGTGGTGGAATGATGGCCTCCTTCAAAGACACTCACAGGAGGGATGCATTTTATCTCCTGTGGGGCACAGGGGTGCTTTGGGGGTACTTTGTCAAGTTCGCAAACTTTTCTAGTTGAGGTTCCACCTCAGCAAAAGTGAGCTCTGTTTTGTGTGTGTTTTGGTGGGGGGGAGGGGGGGAGGATGATAGAGCAGAAAAAGAGCAATGTTTTAAAAATAGTTTTGTTTTAAATCATCCAAACTGGTCCCAAAGAAAGAAACCACAGGCAAATGGCCACGAGAATCGATACAGTCAAGACCTAGATTCATTTTGTGTCAGCATTTGCTTACAAATAGTGCCATGAGCTGATGTGCTCCTGCATCAATTCCCTAGTCCAGGGGGGAGGAGGAGGGTGGGCAGGGGTGTAGCTGGAGGAAATTCAAGGAATTGGGGAGGAGGTAGGCAAAGGGCTGACAAGGGGCTGTGCTTATGGGAGCGGAGGCCCGTAGGGTACACAGGTTCAGAAGCAGCAAGGGGGATCTCAGGGAAAAATTACAGACACGTCCTCAGGCATTTGCTGGATTATTTGTGCATGTTTTAAAAATCTCAGCAGAGTTGAAACAGCCCAAATGACACAGCAACCCCCGCACATCTCTTCTGCCCTGCATTCAAAGAAGCCAAGTTGGTTTCGAATGTTATGAGACATTTTATGTCTCTGTTGCCTGGGTAGCTTGGCTTATGCCATCTGTTTTTTTTGTGTTGTTTTGTTTTTAAGTAATTGTTAAACTGTATAACACACATACCAATCGTAAGTGTACAATACGACAAATTTTCACAGTGAACGTGAACTTGTAACTTGCCCTGAGATCAAGACACAGAATGTTGCCAGACTGCAGAAGACCCCTTCTGCTCTTTTCCCGTTACTTTTTCCTCCCAGGGTAACCACTGTCCCAACCCATAGATCAGTTTTTGCCTGTTTTCATGCTCTGTGGGTATGGTATCCTCTAGTACACGTTTTTTGTTTGTTTGTCTTTCAATCTGGCTTCTTTCTTTCAAAATCACACTGATGAGATTTAGCCATGTTGCATGTGGCTCTAATTCAGTCATTATCTTTGCTGTCCGATATTCCATTTGTGTGACTGTGCCCCCAAATAATTTATCCATTCTGGGGTTGATGGGCGTTTGAATGGTTTCCACATTTTGTCCGTGGCCAGTAGTGTGGCTGTGAACATTCTAGCACATGTCTTGATACACCTGTGCACATTTGTTTAGGTTATATACTTAGTAGAATAGAGAGTTCTAGCCTGTTCAGTTTAGAAGATCCTGCCAAACAGATTCCAAAGTGTTTGTTTAGTTCATACTTCTACTAGCAGCATGTGAGAGTTCTGTCCTGTTTTAAACAGTAAAAGCAGTAAATCTACAGAGTTGCACAAATGGACAAAAGGTGACCCATATTTGCCCCATTCCAGCAGACGGATTATTTCAGTTGTGTCCACTTCTAGTGCTTTTCCATGTCTGCTCCTGTTTTTATGAAGTCATAAGAGTCAATTTGGTATTTTGTCTTAACAGTGTGTCTTAATATTGTTTCAATCTCCATGACTTTGTAATTCCTGCACACATCCACAATCCCGTGGATAGGCTTCCATAATAATCCCCCCCAGCATTAGAAATGAGTGTTAATTTTTTTGGAGTTGTACTGGTATATATTGCTAAAGAAACCATCTTTGTGCATGTATTCCCTCCCCCTTTTTGGGATCATTTCATAAACTAGAGTCTTTGTTTTTTTATGGCTCTGGATCCATGTTGTTAAACTACCACTTGCAGAACCCAGCTGTCCTTGAGTCTAGTACAGAATTGATTAAAGTAACCTTTAAATTGCTAATATGTTACCTGCAAAAAGGTGTCTAATTGGTTTAAAATTCGACTCTCAAAGTAACGGTGAAGTTGACCCTGATACCTGCTTTTCATTTTTATTTTTCTAATTTTTTTAAAAGATTTTATTTATTTATTTAATAGAGAGAGAGACAGTGAGAGAGGGAACACAAGCAGGGGTAGTGGGAGAGGGAGAAGCAGGCTCCTGGCCGAGCAGGGAGCCCGATGCCGGGGCTCGACCCCAGGACCCTGGGATCATGACCTGAGCCGAAGGCAGTCGCTTAACCAACTGAGCCATCCAGGCACCCCGAGATACCTGCTTTTTAAATAGTGTAAATAGGACTATTGTAGTTTCACTTGCCAGTCACATATGATTTTTCTTTATCTGATGCTTTTTTGCCAAGGTACTAAGTTAGGAGTTTTAGTGAGTACAAGAGGAATCCTAACATTAAGTAGCTGGTTGTCCGGAAATTATGTATAAAAATTAAGAATACCAGCTAGGCAGTTTCCTTACATGTGACAAAGGAGTGTTTAGTTCGTTTACCAGATATTGAGTACTTCTATGGGTTCTGAATCGAAAGAGGTCTTTCTTGCCTGAATGGTTAGGATCGGCTTCCTTGAAAAGTAAGACTTGAGCTGAGTTTTAAGGGATCCTTAGAAATTGGCGAGGGAGCAGATCTCTCTGAAGAAGATACCACTGAGTTATCTCCAGAAGAGAGATGAACAGCACACAGGCTATCCTGGACAGTGGAAATGCTGCTGGTCTTCTTTTTATTCTTTCTCTGGAATATAGTGAAAATTGGTGAACTAATATAAAGGCAGAAAAAATCATTAAAGCTTTTTGGATGAACACTTTTTTACTTTCAAGTCAGCATCCTGGGGTTCGATGGTGAACACTTGCCGAAGATTACCATGCAGTGGACTGCTGCTTTGCCTAGTTATGGCTCTAAACTCACTCTTTCCCCTCAAATAAAATACAGCAAAAATTTCTCTAAGGTAAAGACTGCTCCACCAACTTGCATGTAGAATAAGCCAATATCAATTTACCTTTAGTGAATATTAATGACATTTCTATTTTATGCAAGGCTTGGTGGGGAAATTCAGAGACTTAGACCCTCACAGAGTTCATAGCAAGTGGGGAGATAGAAAGATACAGAATTATAGTGGGAGGCAGAAGGATGGAAATATCTGCTATTCATGGCTCATTCTGGAAATGTAAGGGGTGGGAAAATTCATGCTGAGAAGTTTGTGTGATATTTAAGGAGATTGGGCCTTGGAAAATGTATACGGGTGGGGATTACAGCAAAGGGCATTGCATTTTAGGGCCTAGCTTTTGAAGCAAGGAGGCAGTCTGGTAGGACTTGACGTAGTAGTTTGCTCAGTCACATACTTGGAGACTCAGGTGAATGGCAGCTTGAGATTATGCTCTCTGTCCAGTGGCTTCTAGCTGCTGAGCCCAGCCTAGTTATCTTTGGGACAATGTTGTAGCTCTGGACCCAGACTGGCTGATTTGGATATAGGTTGTGCTGCTTGCTGGGTGACCTTTGGCACAGTTACTGAACCTCTCTGTGATTCAGTTTCCCATTTATAAAAAGGGGATAGCAAAAGCACTCCCCTCATGGAGTTGCCTGAGGATTAAGTGAGTTAAAGTGATATCAGAGGGGCAC